TTTTTTTTTTTTTTTTACATTTTGTTATATTTAAATTCTTTAAAAATTTTAAATTTTGACTTATGTAATAGAATTAGCAAATCCAAAATACCATTAATTTTAGATATGATTTTAAATTTTAGAATACAAAAAATTATTTGCACTCAATGTCCCTCTTTCTCGCAAACTTCTTCAACAATCTAAAACATTACGTAGGACTTATTTTTCAAAAAAACAAAACACACAATATAGTCAAATACATTATTCACCAATAGCTAGCACTGCAAAAACAAATACGTGAGGACTTTCAATCATACAGATGATTTTTAGATAAGAAAGTGAGGAAGAGCAAAGACAAGAGGGAGACCAATTTCGGAGGGGTCTCGAGCATGCAGAGGAATACAGCCAAGAAGGGAACCGGTACCGGGAAGAAGCTGATGGCGAAGAAGAACAGAGGAGAGAAGGAGACTTGATCTGGTTTGCACTTGAAAGTGACGAACAGCAAAGACAAGAGGGAGACCATTCTCGGAGGGGTCTCGAGCATGCAGAAGAATACAGCCAGGAAGGGGACTGGCATTGGGAAGAAGCCGAAGGTGAAGAAGAACAGAGGCAAGAAGGAGATCTAACTTGCAAAGGCTGCGAGAGTGAAGGAAAACAGAGGCAAAACCGAAAACTGAGGCAGATGAAGGGAACCCAACAGAAAAGGAGGAAGAAAATTAGACTTTCCAGCTTGGTTTATCAAAGGGATGAAGCTGCTGGGGAGAGAAAGCAAAGATTAAATGGTCATAGGAGAAAAATAAGGAAATCAATGGGGGAGAAGCTGATGCCGAAGTTTTTAAGGAGCACAGAAGGTGAAGTAGCGGATATCTCTATCGGTGGTAGTGGAATTCAAAACTACAACAGGATGTTGAAAAAACAACTTCAAAATCAGTTAGCTAAAGAAATATGGCAGTTAGCTAAACAACTGGGGGCGACAGCAGAAAACGATGATGTGATTTTGCAAAAAATTGAAGAAATGGAATGTAGAAACAGACAAGCAAAGGAAAAGAAGATGAACCGGGAAGTAGATAATGCACAGAAGGTAAGCAAAGCCCCTAATGATATTGTTATCCTTTAATATTAGAGGATTAAGTGGGGTAGGTAAAAAAAGAAAAATAAGGGAGCTGGTTATGAAGGAGAGAGTGGATTTTTTAGCAATACAAGAGACTAAAATGGAGAGTATTGATAGGAGTACATGTACGAGAGTTTGGGGAACTGATGACTTTAATTGGATTTTTAAACCTTCTGCGGGTATGTCTGGAGGCCTTTTGTACATTTGGAATATTAATGTGTTTAAAAAAAAGGAGCTGATAGAGGGGAATAATTTCATTGGGGTGTGTGGTAGCTGGGGAGAGGATCAGACGCTAGTGTATGTGCTCAATGTTTATTCTTCATGTCATTTGATGAGAAAAAGAACTTTATGGGAGGATCTACTAAATTTGATGAATAGAAGAAGAGGAAAGTGGTGTATAGAGGGTGATTTCAATGCTGTAAGAAAGGTAGGGGAAAAGGAGGGGTGTAGGAGTTTAACTACGGAAATGAGGGAGTTTGAAAGCTTTATTCAAGATGCTGGACTAGTTGATTTACCTATGGTGGGCAGAAAATATACTTGGTATAGCTCTAACAGCCAGTGCATGAGTAGGCTTGATAGGTTTTTGCTCTCAGAAGAATGGCTTGAAAAATGGGGGGATGTAAAACAGTGCAGTTTGGAAAGATCAGTGTCAGATCATTGCCCAATACTACTAAAGAATGAAAGGGTTGATTAGGGACCAAAACCTTTCAAATTTTTTGATACTTGGCTAGAACAACCCGAGTGCATAGAGGTAATTAAAAAGGCATGGAATTCCATAGGACCCAAAGGCTGGAAGGGCTTTAGTTTAAAGGAGAAGTTGAAAAGAACCAAAAATGCCTTGAAGGAATGGAGCAACAACTTCATGGCTGACACCGATTGTAAAATGAAGGAAGCAGAAAGGGTAATAGCTACAGTGGATGAGAAAGGGGAAAATGGCACACTCACGGCAGAAGACATTGAAATTAGGAAAGGCTGTTTCATAGAGCTATGGAGGAATTTAAGAATTAAGGAGAGCATGTGGTCGCAAAAATCAAGGAAGATGTGGCTAAAAGAGGGGGATGCAAACACAAAATTTTTCCATAGTTGTGTGAGAGGCATATGGAGAAGAAACGAAATTATAAATAGCATCCAAATTAATAATAAGCAACTTGGGGGGGTGGCTGAGATAAGAGAAGAGGTGGCGAGCTACTTTCAAGGTTTATTCACGGAAGAAATGTGGCAGAGACCAAGGCTAGATGGCATTAATTTTAATCAACTATCCCAGACGGACAATGAGTCTCTTTTGGCTGTTTTCTTTGAAGAAGAAATCAAAAATGCAGTTTGGGATTGTGATTCAACAAAATCCCCTGGTCTAGACGGATTCAACTTTAGATTCATAAAGGCTATGTGGGAGGACATAAAATAGGATATTATTAGTTTCGCTCAGGAATTCCACGAGAGTGGGAAGCTGGTGAGAGGATCAAACGCTTCATTCATTATGTTAATCCCGAAAGTTGAAAACCCCCAAAGAATTGAGGAGTATAGACCCATCTCACTCATTGGGGTGATGTACAAGATCATTGCAAAGCTGCTAGCTAACCGCCTCAGAAAAGTACTGGATAAGATCATCGGGGAGCAACAGATGGCGTTCATAAGAGGCAGACAGCTGATAGATAGCGTTGTGATTGCCAATGAGGTGATTG